TTGTGTGCCGAGCGGGAACTAACCCCTAACCGATGGCGGACCTACCCGCGGGAGGGCCCGAGACCCCTCCTACAAACACGCAAGAATCACCGCTAGCTTGACGGAGGACGACCTCGAAGCCAGAACTACCGTCGAAAGCCGGAAGCGAACCCGGAGTGGAGATATCTTCGCTCTGTCGGATCTAACCGGTCGAATCACTACTAAGGAGGCGTGGAAACTAATCAGCACGCTGAAGGACGTTATCCGCTACTAAACCACGACTATTGCAGCTACCTAAAACGAACTCTAGGAGATTAAACATAACTAGAACGTCCTCTAGGAATAGAACGAAAGACTTTATGAGGAAGTGAAAGCACTACGAGCGCAGCTCGAAAGTGCCCTAGTAGTGACCGCGACTAAGATCTAGGCGGCAGTCGTAGCTAATGGCGGCAATACTACGCCCTCGCTAACCCACGAATAACCCGAGAAAGAGCAAAACTACGTCCGAATCAGCACCTAAAGAACCTTCGTTGATCTAAGAGATATTAATAGTAGCGACGGAAATATATTTAGACGATATCTCTCTACCGATACTGTTAATACCTATATTCGTACCGTATTGCAGAGCGACGATACAACGCAAGACGTCTAAGTGGCGGGTATTAGCACTACTAAGACCGGCTATTTTATTCGATTCAAAAATACGGAGTCGGCTAAAGTAGCGCGTAATAATACTAGATAGCTATATAAATTAGGTAATAACTCGAAGTGTGAGAATATGGTCTACTTGCAGGGTAGAAAGCCTATCAACTAGGTAGGAGAGCAAAGCACTAAGTCAGATTGTAACAGAGACTGTTTCCTGGAGGGCCCCTTTACCCCGTTTACTGCTAGGCCTTATATACAGTAAGCCCCTCTTTCGAAGGAGGGGTAGACATGCAGGGAAGCGGATGACTATCCTCCGTGGGAACAGCGGGGAAAGGGTGATGATAGATCACCGAACCAATATATTATGGTTAGTGATCCTTGGAGGCCTAAAGCCTAAGGCCTCAACATAGGAATAGCCTTATAGTGCAAAATATCATAACAATTATCCTCCCTCCAATTTCGCTTGCCCTAAGCGAGGGAGTCATATACAATAAGGGTATAAACAAACAGGTAAACAGGTAGGAATCGATAAATAGGCAGGTAGCAGAAAAAGGTAGTGAAGCCTAGGGGGGGTAAACAAAATTAGCTATAGCAAACAAAGAGCGTAGTAAACAAAGAGGGCCTTCTTTCTTTATTGATATTGTGAGCAAGCGATGCTGCGCAGGTAGAGAGGAAGGAAGAAGATTGAATAAGATAGATCGATCTTTCTTCCTTAGATTGAATAGGAAGGATAAGTTCAGTTCGGCTTAGGATTATAAGGGTAAGAGAAAAGTGAGGTAGGACTGAAGCTTGGTTAATTGTATTGAATCTTGTTGATCTGTATGATTGATGATTTCTTGGTAGAGAAAACAGGGCATATTTATAATCAATCTTTTATGCAAACTTATCAAACCTCTTTCGTATATGATCATTCTAGATCTAGGATCTAGATGCATGATGATCTTATGCAGATAGATCTAGATATATAGTGATCTCATGTAGTAGCTGTTTGACTTGCAGTTGCTTGATTGTACGATGTCATTGATCGTAGTGATGATGTAGATCGTATATAATAGTATACGTCTTCTACGATATCATTGACCGTAGTGATGATGGTATAGCGATGTTATTGACCGTAGTGATGATAGTATAGTATAAAGCTTATAGAGATTCAGCTATCTTGTATAGGCCTTATAAATCTAGCTTGATATATAGCCTAACGGCTTAGGTATCTTACCCTATATCTCACACTCCCCCGTAATCTTTATACTATAGTGTAGATAGCAGTAGAGTATAGAGATTAGTATAGAGTAGATAGGATAGATATATATATATACTGCTATAAAATAGCTAGATATATATCTTCCTAAATCTCACGGAGGTTAGCTAGATTCTTTAGGTCTTCAAATATTTCTCTTCTAACATTTTTAGTCAGGAAATCTGCTAATTGTAGTGTAGTAGGGACGTATTAAATATCGACCCTTTTTAGTTTGACCTGATCTCTAATATAGTGATATTATATATCAATATACTTCGTCCTTTTGTGAAATTCAGGGTTTTCGGCTAGCTTAATAGCTGCCTTATTATCCACTAATATAGTAGGCTTACTAGGCGTATAGCCTAGGCCTAATCTATTGTTTAGATAGTTAAAGAGATTAGCTAGATAGATAGCTTCTCGTATAGCTTCTTTTATAGCTATATATTCGGCCTTGTAGGTAGATAGAGCTACTGATTTTTGTAGCATCGAATTCCAGCTTACTATATTATTAGTGGCTAGATCTCTAGACAGGCTAAATATATAGCTAGTAGTGGATTTTCTACTATCGATATCGCCTGACTAATCAGTATTAGAGTAGCCTTTTATATATAGGTTATTCCCTATATAATCGTAGTGTAGGCCTAGATTTAGCTGATATTGTAGATATTACTATATCTTCTTCAATTTAGAGATATATAATTAGTTAGGATTGCTTATATATCTTAAGTAATAGGCAACTAGATAGGCTATATTAGGCCTAGTCTTTAGGCTAGTATATAGTAATAAGCTAATCTCTTTTTGATAAAGATTAATAGTTTACTTGTGAGCAAGCGATGCTGCGCAGGTTGGTAAAGAGGAAGATAAATTAGAGATGATTAAATAAGATCGATTGATCTTTCTTCTTGATTGAATAGGAAGGATAAGTTTAATTCGACTTAGAATCATAAAGATAAGAGAAAAGTAAAGTAGGACTGAAGCTTGGTTGATTGTATTGAATCTTGCTTGTATGTCTTAAACATAATTCTTATCTTGGTAGAGAAAGCAGGGCATATTTATAATCAACTTGTCTCTTGCATGTGATCGTTCTAGATGATGCATGATGATCTCATGCAGATAGATTTAGATGCATAGTGATCTCATGCAGTAGCTGATTGATCGGTGGTTGCTTGATTGTACGATGTCATTGACCGTAGTGATGATGTAGATCGTATGACTAGATACGTCTGTTCATGCCTGATTATCCGATTGGATAATGATGATGTGATAGCATAAAGCTTATGAGATTCAGAACATCGTTCTGGCCTTGGTATAGGCCTTATGAATCTGGCTTGATATGCTGCATGACGGTTTAGGTATCTTGCCCTATATCTCATAGTTTCGAATAACGGCTAGACTACTAATAAAATCGGCCTACGCTAGCTCTAAAAGATCTTTATTCTATATACTGCTTCGCGTATATAAGGGCGTTTTCGTCTATTAATCCTCGACGGGTATAGTAGCTACCTTATACCTTAATTCGATCGAATCTGCGCTAAAAACGATATTATACTACTCTATATACCTTCGTATTCTTTATATCTACTCTAACTACTTAATATTAGGTATTTTGCTGTTTTAAAGCGTACGTATAGTCGCTTAGTGAGCGATTTAGCCCGAACTAGCTATAATTATATTGATAAGCTTAATTTTCTAGCAGATTATCCTCGCGCGCGGCTAGAAGCTTTTTAGTCGAATATCGTTTAAAGCAGCTTCGCAGCTACTGGTATCGTACCAGTATGTGCCGAAAGAGTGCTTTCTAAGCTTAATATATCCCTTCGAACGCCTTTACTACTATCAAGCCGACTAAGCAGCAGATATAGCTAATTTACACTAAAAACGCCTAGAACAGTAGTTCAGCTACAAAAGCAGGTTAAAATGATGAGAGATCTAATAGATCAGCGGTCAAAAAGCCTACCAAGCCCGTTGAAATTAGTGGTTGATCAGATTCTTAAGGGCCATGAAATTGCGCTGCATAACACTGCACTACTAGTAAAGGAGAACGCCGATCTACGCGCAGTGAATGAAAAGAAACGTCAAAAGCGCACTCGATCGACTAGGCAGATTGCACACGAAGGGGGTCTATCGATTAAAGAGGGCCTACAGCTAGCTTAGCAGCCAATTCAGCCAGTAGAAGCTAATGAGGTAGTATCGCATGAAGAAGTCGATCTGCCTAATCAGCCGATTCAACTAGCCAGGAGGGCTCCTCCTACCTGCAGTAGATGTGGAGTAACCGGGCATAGGATTAATCAATGTAAAAATCGCTAGTTTAGGATAAATTGATGCGTTTTGGTCACGATATTCTGTTCTAAAATTTTGCAATAGGGGTGGGTGGCCAGCTCGGCCGTGGATTACGTTAATACTGCGCCACCCGGAAATATGAATAAACATTTCGACGCAAAGGTCGAATGTTTCTGATCCGAAGGGAGTAGTAGTTAGTTAGTGGCAGTGGCAAATTAATAATCAAGCGGATAGGTTAGTTAATAACAACTTGGGATCAGGCAAAGAAATTCCTATAGAAGAAAGATAAACATAACTATTTAGGGACAAGTAGGTTCAGCCGGTTTTTATTAACGTACTAAATTGATTCTAGTCGTTCGATCATCGTAGCTCGCAATAAATATAATTGATTAGTCGGTCTAACTGCAGATCTACAGGGCTAGAGTTTATAAGGTTAGACCCGCCTAAATAGGGCAAGGGGCTCTAGCAATCAAGCCCCGCTAGTCATCGTATCTAGTCCGTAATAAGTTAGTGAGTTTATTAACTTAACTAGAGCTAGGAATATATAGTAATTAATCCGAGCGGATATACCTAATAATTCAACAAAGACGGTTAAACTAACTATAAACCTTAATACACGAGAAGTTCACTAAATACCCTATCCGTCGAAAAGATATCCTATACTCTTCGTTCAGCATATTAATAAGGGATAAGACAGAGGGCTTCTTTAGGCTACGGGCTATAAGTCGGATTATTAATCCGAAGCTAAGTTATAGTTATATATCTCATTACTTTATTATTCTTATATCTTATACGTGATGTTGCTTCTCTCCTACCGGAAACTTCAGTCGTCTAATCTCTAGCCTTTTTTTCTATTAAAGTTATTCTGCTATCAAAGTCTAGTAAATTAGCGAATCCGAAGAACTACAATATAGAGGTTAATCGCGACCCCGAGAAAGCGATATACCCGGCGAGTTCGCTCGGAAAGCCCTCCGGACGATCTCCCTCCCTAATAGCGGACCCTATCGTCAACTCTAGCGCGGAGCAGTTAAACGACGAATCCGGCCAAAAGTCCGACCCCCGAGATATCTCATAATAGCCTATTACTCTAGATATACTACAAATACGATATCGTAACGAGACTAATGGTAGGAAATCAAAGAAGCTAGGTATAACATAGCAGAACCTCATAGTAAAGGGTATTAGTAGTAATACGCTTTACAACGAAAATGTTCTCTCTTAATTCAACCTATTCAGGAAGGGCAGTAAGAGCCTACCCCTAAAGACTATTATCGATAACTCTTCTAGATATATCAAACCCGGTAAGATATTACTTATTCTTAGAAATCTAGGAGCCGGATATATAATACTACTTAGCGTTCTATTAAACTATAGAAATAGCTTCGTAGAAATTACTAGTAACGTCTCGTTCGGTTCTATAACTAGTCAAGAAGCTAAGCAATATCGTAGTTAGATTATTATAAACATAGAAGAGGAGATCTTCTTTCTAGCTCTTTTAGTTAGTAATACTATCGACTTCGCTATATATTTAAAGGTACCCTTCTACCTGCTACCGGATATCAAGAACGAGGAGGAGTACGCCTAAATATATAAAGAATTCCTCTTGAAGTCTCTTAGTATCACTTACATAAAGGATACTAAAGTCGGAGATAAGTTTATTCGTAGCGTTTCGGGTAGCAAGCGCAAGCAAGTATCTATTCTCGAATACCTTACGACTAGAGGTAGCGTCTTCTCCTAGGATAACTCTACTCGTGGTCTCGACGCGAGTACTACGCTAGATTAGACGAAAGCTATACGCGCTATAATAGATATTCTTAGTCTTACTATAATTACTAGTCTATACCAAGCTAGTAATAGTATATACGAGTAGTTCGATAAGATTCTAATTCTCGATAATAGCAAGCAGATCTTTTACGGACCTCGAGATAAAGCTATACTATATATAGAGGATCTTAGCTTTATATACGACCCTATAGCTAATAAGTCAGACTTCCTCACGAGCGTATCGGCGCCTACTATACGCATAATTACTACAGACTTTAAGGACCGATTTCCTCGATTAATAGAGGAGCTACTCGCTACTTATAACAACTTACCTATTAAGCTAAGGATAATAGCCAAGCTCGATTACCCTAATAGCCCCGAAGCTTAGTAGAATACAGCAGACTTTAAGGAATAGGAGGCCTAAGACAAGCACAAGAACCTCCTAAAGAAAGCTACGGAGTCCGTAGTATATTTCTATTAGGTATAGACGGCTACTATATACTAATTTCAGATCCTCTAGAGCAACAAGTAAACTCTATTTATTAAGCAAGCTATAACTATCGTTTAGGCGTTAATCGGTAGCTCACTATTCTATAATACTCCGGATAATATAGCAGGCTTATTTATTAAGGGAGGCTTACTCTTCTTCTCTCTACTATATCCTACCTTTATTGCTCTCGCCGAGATTACGGATTCGTTCGTCGGCCGACCCGTCTTAGCTAAATACCGAGACTTCGCTCTCTACTATCTATCTGCCTTTGTCTTCGCCTAGATTATTACCGATATCCCGATTATACTCTTCTAAATCTCGCACTTTAGAATTATACTATACTTCATAACTAGATTCTAGTACACCGCCTAGGCTTTCTTCATCTTCTAGCTTATTAACTTAATCTCGGCCCTAGCTATAACATAGCTATTCAAGTTCATCAGTGCCGCTTTCCCGAATTTCGACGTAGCAACTAAAGCTTCTAGATTCACTATCGTCGCTACCTTTATATATACAAGATATATAATTCCCAAGCCCGATATATACCCTTAGTTCGTTTAGTTCTTCTAGATTAATCCTATAGCCTACGCGTTCGAAGTATTACTCGCGAACAAGTTCTACGACTAGGTAATTCCTTATATAGGCCTATTCCTAGTTCTACCCTAAAATAGGAGATAGACAAGTATATACCGGCGTCCGTAGTACGCCTCCTAGAGTAACCAGCGTTACTAGTAACTAATACCTAGCTTCTATATCCTTTAGCTATAGTAACCTTTAGCGTAACTTTAGTATTCTCTACGCCTAGTACGTTTTCTTCGTAGTAATAGCCGTCTTCTTCACTTCTAGATAGAAGCAGATAGGCGAAGGTAATCGCGGCCTCCTTATCCCCCGTAAGAAGTAGAAGAAGATATCTAAGACCGTAGTTACGGATAAGGAATCCTAGGCTATCGAGAAGCCATCCGAGAACTCCGGCTCCGATTCCGAGAAGTCAGACGCAACTATCGACAACCAGGTCGTTAATAATATATTAGTCTTTACCTAGAAGAATCTAACTTATACCGTCAAGACGCCGTATAGCGATCGTGTTCTTCTCGATAATATTCAAGGATTTATCAAGCCCGGTACGCTCGGTACTCTTATAGGATCTTTAGGTATAAGTATACTAGCAATACGATTAATAGATAGATATATACTAATATTTTTACTTAGGCCGGAAAGACTATATTACTCGACGTTCTAGCTTAACGCAAGACTAATAGTACTATTTATAGCTCCGTTCTAGTCGATAGTTACCCGCTCCCTATATCCTTCTAACGATCTACCGGCTACGTCGAATAGATAGATATCTACAAGTTATTATCTATAGTACGCGAGGCTTTAGAATTCTCTACTCTTCTTCGTTAGAATCGTGAAATTCCCCACGAGGAGAAGCTCTGCTATATAGACACGATCGTTAAGCTTCTATAGTTAGAAGATCTCGAGTACACTCTTATTAGTCGCCCTAGTACCGGTCTTTCTATTAAATAGCGTAAGCGTAAGTCTAAATCTATCGAACAGAGTCAAGATAGATACTAACAACTTATCAGGTCTTATAATTAGTATTAAGCTTATAGCTAAGCCTAGTATTTTAATCTTCCTCGACGAACCTACTTCTAGTCTCGATAGCCAAGCTATAAACAACACGGTACGCTTCTTACGCAAACTCGCGGAAGTCGGACAAGCTATCCTCGTCACGATTTATCAGCCATCGGCCGACCTCTTTACCTAATTCGATACCCTCCTCCTACTAGCAAAGAGTAGCAAGACTGTATACTTTAGCGATATCGGCTATTATACAAGGACCGTCAAGAAATACTTCGCTAATTATAGCACACCGTACCCCCGAAAGGCTAACCCTGCTAAGCATATAATTAAAGTCGTATTAGGAAATCTTTCTAAAGGCAAGGACTAGAACTAAGTCTAGCTTAACTTACTAGAGCACAAGAAGATCACTCAAGAGCTTAACACTCTTGTCGCTAATACTACTACTAAACCGTCTAGAACTATCGACGATAGCTATTAATTCGTAGTACCTATATAGAAGCAGGTAAAGCTTATCACGCACCGTATAAATATCTCCTTATTCCGCAACACCGAGTATATCAACAACAAGCTTATCTTGTATATACTCCTATCTCTTTATAATAGCTTTTTGTTCTAGTCGATTAGTAACAGCGTTAGCAATCTCTAGCAACGCCTCTTCACGGTCTTTAGTTTCCTATTTATTGCCCCTAGTCTTATCTCCTAGCTTTAGCCTATCTTTATCGATCGTCGTAATATATATAAGACGCGCGAGAAGAAGAGTAAGACCTACTACTAGGTACTATTCGTTACTAGCTTGATCGTTTCTAAGCTACCCTACCTAGTCGTCTATAGTATATTATACTTTATATATTAGTACTAGACTACTAGATTACTAAATAATACTAAGTAGATAGGTAGTACCTTCTTCGTCGTAGTAAGTTCTCTCTTCTTTAGTTAACTCCTCGCTCTAAACTAACAAACCGTCTAGATGTTTTACAAGATATTATATACCGGTATTAGACAATCGATCGCCGCGTATGCTCCTAATATAACCTTTATATCTCTCGTTAACCCGCTAGTTATTACTACCCTTATATTATTCTACGGTGTCTTTGCTCCTTACTCCTAGATCATAGCGTTCTAGAGATACTAGTAAGCCTCGTACGACTATTAACACCCACAAGATTAATACTAACATCACATTTTAGGCTCTACTACCTCGATCCCTTTAACTACCTCTTCGGCGCCTTCCTTATCTTCACTACCTTCTCCGTCGATATTACTTACGAACGGGGCAAGCTTACGGTCTTTAATCCTCCTATAAACGAGATATATAGTAACTATCTCTCTACCTATTAGTAAGATATAGGACGTAGCACGAACCTTTTAAACCTAGACGCTACAGAGAACTACAAGGTATACCGATATACTACTAGATAAGACTACTTAAAGATACTCAACTTAAACGAAGAGTACTATAGCTAGAGGAATACCGGGCTAGTTATATTATAGGCTAGAGTATTCTACGCCCTAGTATTCTTAATAATAAAGTTACGAACTAAAGTAACGAAGATAGTATCTACGTAGACGAATAGTGTTTATTAAAGAGTAAAAGATTACCAAGATACCCTACTCGAAGAGTAAAGACGGAGCGCGAAGTTAAGCGCGTACGTATTAGCTTCAGGTATAGTATTAAAGCTATATAAAGGAAGATTCAAATCCTAGATCATAGAATTACGCACTTACGCTAAGCTTAGACTGTTATAATAGTTTTATTAGGTAATTAAGACTATATTACATTCTTAAAGCTTCCTAGCTATAGTAACTAGTATATTAAGATAAGGAGGGATAGGATCTAGGAGGAGCGATAGTATATACTAGCGATTAAGTAATAATAAAGATATTAAAGACTAAGATAACTCCTAAGTAGGAGTGCGCTATACACACTTCCCGAAGATCTATATTACTATACAAGGTTAGTATACTATAGGGAGGACTACCTACTATCTACTAAAGCCTTAGCAGCCTTAAAGACTACTAAAACCTTAATATAGTGATCTATTAGAGTACGAGCTACCTAGGTTCGCCTCCTGTCCTTCTAGCATATCGCTAGAGCGGAATATATTTAGTATTCTAATCTAAGAGGCGCTTAGTTAATAATTTCTCCTAGTAATCTATATCATAATCCGCGCGCTTCGCTACTCTCTCCTCTTGCTCGGTATACCTTACTTTATTACCTTCCCTAATATCTTTAGGGGGTATTTCCGACTATTTCCGCTCTTTAACGTCCTTAGCAAGGGATTACTCGCCTAGTACTCGCTCTACTTTGCTATCTACCGTATCTAGATATTAATAGAGTTATATCCTAGAGATCCGTATCTTTATCTCCTATCTCCTTCTAGCCAAGTTCCTTATAAGTAAAATCGCTAAGGCGGAGCCGTAGGCCAGGATAATCGACGGTGTTTCTATCGTCACGGAAAGCCTAATAGGAACGTTAGAATATTATATATAGTATTATAAGGATTAAACCTACCTTATCAAGGTAGTTAGGTAAGGGTAGAAATCGGATAAGAGCTATAGACGTATAGAAAGTACGCTATCTAGAAAATCGTGAGTAGTATATAGAAACGGAAGCTAGGTAAGAGTAGAGATCGGGTAAGAGTAGAAGCTAGGTAAGAATACACGCTATCTAGAAAATCGTGAGTAGGAGTAGGTATATACGCTTTCAAGAAACCATAAGGATATACAAGAGACAGAAGTTATATACGTAATATAATTTAGCGTATATCTTTTAATCACTACTTTAACTTCTTATACTTCTTCTCTCTCCTACTCCTCCTTTCTTACTACCCTTCCCCTATACGTACTTTACTAGTAAGATACCTTTACTACTAATATAGTTCACTATCCTCCTACCGTATTTACCTCCGAAATAAAATAGCCGATCCTTTATAGTATCTCCCCGAGTACTCGAGTACGGTCTGTACTGCTTTCCTCTGCCCGGCCTCGTTTCGGCTCGGTTTTCCTTATTATAGTTAAGATAGGGCGTTTTAACCCTTAATCCGCAACCTCATAAGTCAACTAACTAGTCGATCGTCGAACCTCGGCGCCTCTAGGTACTTTCACACTTCGTTTCTAGACTATTACGGCTGTACAGGGTTTTAAATCCGCCCTAAGGGCGCAAGGCTCTAGTAAGGGTATTAGCAGCCTTAGATAATAATATTCGCTTCATTTCGGAACCGAGGAAGACCAAGATATACTTCGATGATTAGTAATATAGTTACTTAGGAAGTAGCTCCTATAAGCTAGATCAACGAAACGCAAACTATCGCATAACGAAGGCATCTCTTCTAACTCGGACGATATAAGCAATTGACTAAAAGAGCTAGAACCTTACGGCGATATTCAACGTAATAATTTGTTGTAGACCTACAAAGAAAACCGTAGTCCGCCCTACGAAGGGTTCTATCGAGAGAAGCAGAGCTACCTAGAATAGCTTAGAAGGGGGAAAAGCATAGTCGGCCCTACGATCTAGCCGGTCCGGAGAAGCAGCTTTCCTTATAGTAGCTTATAGAGAGGGAAAAAGCGTAGTCGGCTCTATAATCTAGCCGAGAAGTAGTCTTGCTTGTCTAAAGTAGCTTCTAGAGACATTATAGAGTGCAAAATTTAGCCTAACACGGCTATTATCAAGGTACGTACTAGCACTATATCTATAAGATCAAAATCATACCGCAATCGTCTTCTAAGAATATATAGTATATAACAGGGGAAATGAAAACTAATGACATATATAGTATCTCCTTTTTGAAAATCCTTATTACACGGTTTTGCTAGTAGTGCCCTCTCTTGTTTTCTCAAAGTCTCGGTCTATAATCAACCTTAGCGTTAGGTAGTAGGAGCCCTTAACAAGTTAGCTTTCTTTCCCTAGCAGAAGACTCTGCTATATACTAATTGTGAAGTAAGAAAAGTCCAAAATCCGGAAGTATCTACAGATAAAAGATATACCTAGCCCGTCTCCCGGATACGAATACCTATACTTATATCTATTTCGTATACCTTACTATATTCGTATGCCTTTCTTATCAAACTTGTTTTGCGACGGTATTATTTTTAACGTATTAGTCTTCTCTTTAAGGAGGAGCAATTAGATTAGGTTAGGTTTATAGCAGCTATTACGAGTAGTTATATTACTCTTTAGTAGCATGATAAATATGAATACTCTTATATTATCTAGGAAAAGCACTAGGAACGCTAGCTTTTATAAGGAATAATTCTATTAAACAAGAAAGAGCTTAAGTATATAAAGAGAACTTTTCATTTTTTGAACACACAAAAGACCACGATTTTGCTCTAAATAGAAGATCGTGCTTTAAGCAATACGTAGGCGCTAAGACAGCGCGTATTTAAGGCTCCTCAATATTATAATAATAGTCGGGTATTATACGTAAGCGAGATACTAGATATCTTAGACTCTATCCTATATAAAGGTATTCCCCTTCTCTCTTATAACAATAAATCCCGCCTCCTTTATAAGCATAACTCTTCCTATTTATTACTCTATCCTATCTTATATATCCCCGAGGTCAAGTCTATTATAAAAAGTATAACTTCTCGTAAAAGGCCGGTCGCGCTCTCTCTAGAGGAAACTTATCTTAATAAGTAGGAGAAGATTATATAGGACCTAGTTAAGCGAATTACGTTTAAAAAAAGTATATTAAAAATAAGCTTACTAATAAGAAACGAGTAATTCTCTTACAAGAAAATCCTAGTAGTAGTAGCCACTATCGCTTTAGGACTATATCCTATATAAGTTATATAGAAAGCCTAATATCAGGACTATATTTCGTTTTAATATAAGGACCTTTCCGGTCGATACTATAGTTAGTCCTTATAATCCTATTAAAAGCCGTAAAACCGGTTAAATCTAACGAGCTATAGAACCGAACAAGTACTATTATATATTATATATAGAATAAATATTTCCCGACCTAAGTGCCTTAGTAGAGCGTAGAGTTTTATAGATAGAAGGAGGGGTTACTTAGCTATCCTTAGTTAGCTAGTAAATATCACGCTTTTATAATACTATTAAAGATTAGTTTCGCTATAAGGGCCGTACCTTCGAAGTAAATATATACAATCGATTCTAAAGAGTATATACCGAATAGGAGCAGGAAGCTAGTATAGTAGAGATTAATTATTAATTTAAGAGTCACGAAGGTAGTTCTTAGGATTACGAGAAGTATAGAGAAGTACTAGACGAACCGCTAAGAAAAGACTACTTTCCTAAAGAGCCTCGTAGCAGCCTACTAAGTAAAGTTCTAGTCTCCGTGATTAGCGTAGGAAACTTAGATAGAGTAGGTAGTAATTTAAATACTTACCGTCTTAAGAAGATTCGGCGTAGCTAGTACTATAATTCGTCGGTTATACTATTACTTTAGTTTTATTATAAGGAGTCGTTATTAAATATCTTAGCTATATATAGTTATTATAGACTTTTCTTAAATCAAGAATTATACGATCAAATATTAGTATACTATTTACGCGTAGCCTTACTTCGTAAGATACATTTAACCAAGAAATATTAAGTATTTATAGGAGGGGTAGACTAAGAGCCGGTAAAGGTAAGTAGGAGATAATTCTATACACTCCTTGCGTATAGTTCAGGAGTACTAATTTTGATATCAGCTTCTTCCCGCAAATATTACACTTATAGTATATATTACTAGGGAACGGCTTAATATATTTATTAACGAAGTATCGGATAAGGGACCCGGGGTTTTTATATATTTTCAGGCGTTTACTTTCTAGTAGTTTAGTATTACTAAGATATATAAAGTATATTGTTAGTCTCTCTTCTCGAGATTTAACGTAAATAGAAGCGATAGCTTAAGAAAACCTATTGTTACTCTTATCTAAAGGGGTAGACTTTTTGTCTCTTAGGTAGGGGAGAAGTAGATAGTATATTAACTATATCGATAGAGCGTTTTTATGGCGCTCTAGGCTATAAGGGAGTACCCTCTTTAGTATTATAGACTATAATTACTATATTAATTATAGCAATACGGCGTTCGTATTCTTTTATAACTATTATACCTAGTATAGTTAGGATACTTATAATAAGTATTATTGTGAGATATAGGGCAAGATGCCTAAGCTGTTAGGCTGTATATCAAGCTAGATTCATAAGGCCTATACAAGATGGCTGAATCTCTATAAGCTTTATGCTATACTATCATCACTACGGTTAATGACATCGCTATACTATCATTACTACGGTCAATGATATCGTAGAAGACGTATACTATTGTATACGATCTACATCATCACTACGATCAATGACATCGTACAATCAAGCAACCACCGATCAAACAGCTACTGCATAAGATCACTATACATCTAGATCTGTCTATATAAGATCATCATACATCTAGATCCTAGAT